AGTCACAGCTTCTAACCCTCTTCCTCCTTATCTCTGTCTCTTATTTTCTGTGGGCTGGACTGGTGCTCTTGGCCCCTGAAAGCCCCTCCAAGCTTAGGCATGAGAAGACACAAGCATGAGCTAGAAACGGCAGACCATAGCCTAAAATCCCCAAAGAAGAGAAACCATTGCCACAATTATGTGCAATCCTTTATGGCAAATGCCCAGCTTGCTTAATACCAGTCTCCTGCTATAAGAAAAAAAATTAATGAATAAATAAAATAAAAATGGCCAGAGGAAGAAGTAAGAAAGCTAAAACCAACTTGGCCACTGACTGCCAGGTCCCTGGCAAGTTCACTGCTTCTTGGATCAGAATCCTCAAGGTAAATGAAGGTTGCCAATAGGAGTTAGGTATTTCCATCATTGCCTCCCAAAGCCTCCATATCTCAGAGTATACACACCAAGGGGAAGCCACATGAACTTGTATATTTACAGAAGGTTTGCTATGTCTGAGGATTAATTACTGTATATTTCTTGTTCTAAAATAGATAAAAACAAGATTGGTTTTAGTTTGGTGCTTCAAACTTGAGTGGATTTTCCCCCCTTCATCTGTATTACAACTTTAATGTTAAAAGTTTGGTATTTTCGTCCTGTTTCAGTGGTGTATTCTCTTTTGTAGTAATTCTCTTAAATGTAAGCTATAACTGTATATAAAATATAAGTGTTCTTGAAGATAAGGTGCTAGATATTAGATTGTTTTTGTTCGTAGATAGTGTTATTCTCAAAAGTGGGTAGTATGTACATGTAAAGTTACTTAACAAAATGCATGCAGAATTCTATGTGACCACACCTTGGTCAGTTTCTGAAGTAGAACATAGTACATTTGTTTTTTAAATTTTATTTTCAAAGTGTATACTACAGGATATGTAAGATGGCTTCAAGGTGGGGTGGCGGGAAATGGTGCCTTTCATTCCTTAAATCCCTGGTACGGTATATGGCAGGCAAGAACTTTTTCTGGTACAACTGGTCATTAACATGAACGGATCATCTTAGATGAAGTCCTCGCTGGCAGTTCTCCACAACCCCCTTGGCACTGGTATGCCTGTTTTCCATTAACTGAATGTGTAGAATGCAAAATCGAAGAAGACAATACCTTCCCCATCACAAAGCAAGGACCCCGGATAAGCAACTGGAGTCCTGTTAGCAGGATGGAAAGAATACTGCACTCTCAAGTCCAAACCAGTAACCAGTACCTGACAGTGAAATGACAGGATTTGCATTTTGCAGATTCATTGTGACCATCTCCGTCCTCCTAGAGCAGCACTAAAACCCAGAAAAAGGCTGCTCTGGTTGTTTTTCCTTTGGTTGGTTGTCTGAGAGACGAGATGGAGCATGCATGGGTAAACAAAGAGGTGGTGGGACTCCTCTGGGGGTCATATCTATGGTGTTCGCGAATTACAATTGTAAATCAATGCTATTTGTAACAGATGAAAAAGAGAACTATGAAATAATTTTATTATATTTTCAGAACAAAAATATTGCAATGAGAAAACTATATTATATATATATATATATAAAATCTACATATATGTACCCTCATTAAATCATTTTAAAAACTGCCTTTAATGCCAAATTTTATGTGCTACTTTGAGACTGAGAACAGAAAAAAAAATGCACTCAGTCAATGAAACAGTTTTCTTTAATACTTCACATTTTAAATTTAAACATTTCTTTTTCCTTTTAAAAAAGGATTTGTAATTTAAAAGTGCCTTTTCAAAGGATTGTCACATACAATCCTGGGGCCAAGTTCCCATTGGCACAATTTACCTTCAGGTGCACAAAAGGGGTGGACTTTATCCTCCTCCCCTCAGCAAGAAGAGAAACCCCTTCACACCCCAATCAAATTCATGAATCCATACTGTTACATGGGCCAGTAGTCCCAGAGACTCTGTCCCAGGGCAAGGTTTCATATATTGGTTGGCTTTAATTGGATCCTTTCTAAAATGGTTACAACGCAGTTTTTACTGGACAAGAATAACAGACTCCTGCTTGGGGAATGCAGAGAGGTTGATGTTTGTGATTTAACTAAGTATTATTAAATAATGTTTGTGTTTCTTAAATAGGTGCTGTTAATCTGTCCTTGGTATATCCTTCTGAAATATGCTAAATAAAGTCAAATTTTATGTGTGTATCTGGTTACTATGCTGAGCTCCTTGAGAACACAGTGACCACCACCCAGGGCTAGGTTTCCATACCTTCTCCTTAGCTCAAAGAGAGGAGGCAGAGAATAAACAACTTGCTAGTCCACAAAGTAGAATGAAATAGATGAACTCCCACATTTCTCATTTCAATATTCCAATATAAACAATATGCAGTGGGAAGAAGGGGTTGCCATCAGGAAGGGCTTGCTGGAAGAGAAGCATTAGTCCTCTATGAACAATAAGGATTTCAGAAGGTGAGGGTGGGCAGAGAGGGGCATGGAGCCACATGGCTTGTGACACTCTCAAATTCTAAACTTCATTCCAAAGGCAATGATGTTTAAGCAGGAGGGGGGGCACTGTTTTTAGGTAACAGCACTACCCAATACCTGTGTCACCTCCACTGGGCTTTACCACCTGTTTCCTATTACTACAGCCTAGAACACTTCCCTCAGCCCATCTCAGCTCAGCCTGGCCTAGTTCCCCACACCCACCACAGTTCACCCCCAGGGTTTACAGAACAGGAGGACAAGAGCAAGTTCTCTTAAGCCCCAGTTTCACAAAACAGCTATACTTCTAATGCAACCATTACATGTGAAAACAGAGTACACAGATGAAACGAGAAAATACGTCTAAAACTTAAGAGCCCTAGTTCCTCTTCAGTCAAAGTAGTTGACCTGCTAGCAGCCCCTCCTCTGGTACTCTATGCAGCCCCATTTCAATCAAATTAATGTGCTCTCTACACTTTTCACTCCAGAATCAAGCTAAATACTGATTTACACACTTTCAAGATGTTCAAAGATGGCTGCCTCGAGACTTGAATGTAGCTGCCTTCACCTTAATCTGTGAATGACATCCAGGTAATAGCTTTTTTCTTCAGCAGAAACAAATTTCCCTTTCTAGCAAACTGCTACTGTCCATGTAAATAAATGCACTTGAGAGCTCAAATAAAACTATCATGAGGCAGTCACCTGGTGGGAAAAGAATTCCCTGAAGCTCAATATCCCACTGTTTAGTTCAGAGTATTTAGAGGAGAGTGGAATGGGTTCCAGTGAGCCTCATAATAACAGTTTTAACTCTCAGGCAAGGCTAAGGGTCTAGCCCTCAATTGTGAGACTGAATGGGAAACTGTTGAATCCAAAACTTCCACTGTCAGGAGACCTTTTGTGACCTTCTGTGACTGCTCCTTATCCCATGACTTTGTTCTAGACCCAAGGCCCAATTTTCATCAGCCAAAGCCCTGACCCTTCCAATTTAGGCAAAGGTATACTACTGGCTAGTAAATTATTTTATCTTCCATGAGGCAGCTAGTCAACCCCTACTTCCCCTCACAGTGTCTTTCAGAACATAACTCTCTGACCCTGTTCCTCCTCATTCCAATCTCCCTTCCAAGGGCAACATGAGCTTTTTGAGCCCTGCACACAGAAATGAGTATTCCTCATTTTTAGGATGGCTTTGAGAATGTTCATAAATTGAAGAATATATGTAGGCATTTTCTGAAATGTTTTCCTAAGACTTATATTTTTCAATAAACTTTATCACAGAACATTTATGACCATTCCCAAAACTGCAAACCTGAGGGTATTTTCATACACATATACAACATTTGGGGAGTTGTGACACCTGACTTTTGTTTAGTTGAGGCAAACAAATCTAAGAAACTTGACTCCAAAGATTTGCTATCTACAATTAAGTAAAACGTGAACATTCTCAACCTGTAAAGGAGAATAGGTAGAAATAGACCACCAATAATCAGAAATCTTCAGACTTAATGGAGGAATAATACTGATATTCAAAAACTCTATATGGGAGCTGCAGATGTAGCTTAGTTAGGATTTATCCCCACCACCAAAACCAAACAAAACTCTATATGGTAAACCAATGTACATATTTTTAATGATCATCCTGATACAAAAGTGTAAAATAGCTTGTATAAACAACTTCAGTTAGAAAAATGCATGTTTTCCAGGTGCAGTGACACACATCTGTAATCCCAGCAGCTCTACAGGCTGAGGCAGGAGGATCTTAAGTTCAAAGTCAGCCTCATCAACTTTGCCAGGCGCAATGGCACATGCCTATAATCCCAGCAGCTCTAGAGGCCAAGGCAGGAGGTTTGTGAGTTCAAGGTCAGCCTCAGCAACTTAGCAAGGACCTAAGTGACTCAACAAGACCCTGTCTCAAAATAAATAATAAAAAATAAAAAGGGCTCGGGATGTGGCTCAGTGATTAAGTGTCCTTGGGTTCAATCCCAGGGAGGAAGGAAGGAAGGGAGGAAGGGAGGAAGGGAGGGAGGGAGGGAGGGAGGGAGGAAGGGAGGGAGGGAGGGAGGGAGGGAGGGAGCAAGGGAGGGAAGGAGGGAGCAAAGAAGGAAGGAAGGAAGGGAAGGAGGGAGGGAGGGAAGGAGGGAGGGAGGGAGGGAGGGAGGGAGGGAGGGAGGAAGGAAGGAAGGAAGGAAGGAAGGAAGGAAGGAAGGAAGGAAGGAAGGAAGGAAGGAAGGAAGGAAGGAAGGAAAAATACATGTTTAACATACGATCTATTTGACAATACTTCCAGTGGACAATAGCTCCAAAACTACTCTAATGGAACTATTAGATGCTCTGAACAATATGAGAAAGAAAAAGGAAAAGAAAGAATGTTTTTTCATATGGAACACCAGTGTATTCAACTTTAATATTTTTAAAAGAGATGTGCCTCCCTGGCTCTAATTGCTTTAAATTAAATACTTTTATCTTTTCAGGGAACTTTGACTTTGAATAAATATTTGCCAACCTGTTTTCTTCCATATTATCAGTATTTTGTGTCATACAAAATGAGACCAGACAATGAGATTTTTACATTTATATATAATTAAAATTTATATAATTAGGAGCATACACATATATCTCTATTGATGTTGATACAGATATTCAAAGGCAAGGATGATATGCCTGGAAGCCTTTGGGGGAAACTCTTTAATCCACTTTCACCACATTGAAGACTGTAGTCATAAACAAGAAGCAGGGGGGAAATCCAACTGTCCCTGAAATAAAATGAAAAAGATCTTTGTTAACCAGACATCATAGCAAATCAAAGTAGCTTTCTCAAGAACACCAAGGACATGAGTTTTGAGGTGGGCTACAGAATCTCCAAATCTCAAGACCTGTACATTGTCAAATGAAAATCACCAGGCTCTCTTGCAGAGCAAACAGGATGAGCAGCAGAGCCTGAGCAGTCACCTGCTAATGGGTGTGAGAATCCATCTGATTGAATTTTTCAGGTCTCTAACCAAAGTCAAAAAAATTAAAAAAAATGAGCAGTTGAAGTTCTCCATTTCAAAGACATCCAAAACTAATTTCTGATACAACAAACTTCTTACAACGTGCTTCAGTTTAGAAAATGTAAGAAACAATTATCATTACATGTAGCAAAGAGAAAATAATCTATTTATATGCCCAGATCATATATTAGCATTCAAAATCAAGTTTTTATATTATTAAACTTGAAAAATATCCCATGGGAATTTATCATAAAGAAACAACACCACAGAATAAAAACTTGCCTACAAAAATATGATCATAATACTATGGTTTACAACACTGAATAATTAATTACAAACAAACCAAATACTCCCAAAGTAGATGAATATCTAAATTCAGCCCTAAGTGCTCAACAAAATTAATATAGTCATAAAAATGTAAAGACTGTTTAGCAGTGTGTGGCAATCTTTATAATGTGGTATTAGGTAAAGAAAGCCAGCCCTTAAACAACTCCCAGGCATCATACCAATGTGAATATTACATAAGCATAAACATATGGAATAGACAGAGCAGAGCATGGACAAAAGAAGATACTTTTCTTTAATACATTATTTCATTGATGTTTATATTCCAAGAAAAACTTTCAACTGGTATTATCTTTAATGACTTAATTAAAGAAAATTCTAATAGGATTTCCAGATTCCATAGTCTAATGGGGGTATTCAAGACAACTCATCTAGGAAAACATTTTCCTCAAAAACAAGATTATGGGAAGTTTGAAGCAGGTTTTGGTACATTTTTCTTTGACAGCTGACAAACTTAAAATAAGTTCCAATGCAATATATCATCATACTACCTGCTTCTACTCCTCAAGGCTCCTTATGAAGACCCAGTATAAACTGGGTGCGCTGGTGCACGCCTGAAATCCCAGCAGCTTAGGAGACTGAGGTAAGAGAATCACGAGTTCAAAGCCAGCCCCAGCAAAAGTGAGGCCCTAAGCAACTCAGTGAGACCCTGTTTCTAAATAAATTTAAAAAAAAAAAAAAGGCTGGAGATGTTGCTCAGTGCTTAAGTACCCCTGAGTTCAATGCCTGGTATACTTCCCCAAACAAAAAAAGTCAGTATAGTATAGTGATTAAGATGATGGACATAGAATGACAAAATACTGCAGGGTCTAACATGGAGCAAGTGACAATCTTGCCAAGCCTCTGTTTTCTCAGTAGAAAAATGGGATGATAGTAGCTGTTCTTACTCCAGGCTTGCTTCTTTCTTTCTTTCTTTCTTTCTTTCTCTTTCTTTCTTTCTTCAAAAAAAGCCATTTTTATTAAACAGATTTTCTAAAGAATGAATGTATATTGAACAAAAATGTTAGCAATATTAAGCCCTAACACTTTTTGAATATTACATATGCCAAGCCCTGTATAGGAGCATTGGAGGCATCATCACATGGAATCTATGCAAAACCCCATTGAGGTGAGGGCTGTTACTAACGCCATTTGGCAGATAAAAACTGAAGTGTGGAGGAACACATAACTTGCCTGAGGTCATACAGCAAGAAACTAGAACTCATGATCACTATATTCTATAGAATTTTCAGTAGAGGTACAAGCAGATTCTATTAGATTTTTCAGCCCCACTCTTTTTTTTTAAACTGGGTGTTTTTTTTTTATTAGTTGCTCAAGACAATACAATGATCTTGATATATCATACATTTGATTCAAATGCTGTATGAATTCTCATTTTTCCACGTGTACAGATTGCAGAATCACATTGGTTATACATCCATGTGTATACATACAGCAATCCTAGTGTCAGTTGTATTCTGCTGCCCTCCCTATCCCCCCTCCCCTCCCATCACCTCTCTCTCTACCCAATCTACTGTGACACATTTCTCTCTTTTTTTTTCTTCCCCCTCACACCATCATATATGTAATTTTGTATAACGATGAGGGTCTCCTTCCATCTTCCGTGCAATTCCCCTTCTCCCTCCCATTCCCTCCCACCTGTCTTCCCTGTTTAGTGGTAATCTTCTTCTCATGCTCTTCCTCCTTACTCTGTTTTGAGTCGCCCCTCTTATATCAAAGAAAACATTTGGCATTTGTTTTTTTAGGGATTGGCTAACTTCACTTAGCATAATCTGCTCTAATGCCATCCATGTCCCTGCAAATGCCATGATTTTGTTATTTTTTAGTGCTGAGTAATATTCCATTGTGTATAAATGCCACATTTTTTTATCCATTCATCTATTGAAGGGCATCTAGGTTGGTTCCACATTCTAGCTATTGTGAATTGTGCTGCTATGAACATTGATGTAGCTGTGTCCCTGTAGTATGCTCTTTTTAGGTCTTTTGGGTATAGTCCAAGAAGGGGAATAGCTGGGTCAAATGGTGGTTCCATTCCCAGCTTTCCAAGGAATCTCCTTACTTTCCAAATTGGCTGCACCAATTTGCAGTCCCACCAGCAATGTACAAGTAAGTGTACGTTTTCCCCCACATTCTCGCCAGCCCACTCTTAAAAACACTACGAAAGAAGTGGTAGGAACAGCCATTGCCAATGCTCTCCTCAAATGGGTTCAACTCCTAGATTGACTGGTCTTGAACCAAAACAGTCTTGATTTCCCCATTTACTCAGTGGAAAAAATCTAGGCTTCTTTTTCGAAATCTAGTGATTTCAAAGATTTAGGAGATGTCAGCTATAGCTAACATGTGTCTGATTCTAAATCAGCTGTGATTCCAATTTGCTGCCTATATTTCCTATAAGTCACTGAAATGTCTATAAATTCTCAACTTTTTGATGCTCTCCCTACAACACATAATTGTCTCATATCTGAAACATAAACCCCATCAATCTCACATTGTTGTAATAGTCAGCTGCGTTAAAGAATCTGGACTTTGGAGTTAGCTGTATCCTCCAGCTATAGGATATAAAGTAAGCTACCTACCTCCTCCGTTCCTCATATGTGAAAAGTAATTGTACTGTCACCCAATTAAGGTTTTTCCTGAGAAAAAGATAAGGATATCAGAATCCCTGTCAGAACAGGCACTCAAGAAATGATAGCTATCATATATGTTCTGATCTGGGGCTTGAAATATGTAATTACATGGGCTGTATCCAACTTGTATAATAGTCCTCAACATTGATTGCACATTGGAATCAACTGGAGATATTTAACCAATACTATTGCCTGGATCACAAGCCCAGAAATTCTGATTTCATTTAGTATCAAGATTTTGAAAACCTCTCCAGGTGATCCTAACATGCATCCAGGAGTCAGAACATCTGGACTAACATGCCCTTTCTTCTTTTTCCTTTCTTTTCCTTTTTCTCTTCCTACCTTTCCTTGTAAACAAACATAGGTAAGTATGAAGAGAGGTGGGTAAAATTACACTTCAAAGGCCAAATGAATCATACAAATTAAAAGCAACTTAAAGAATTTAGAAAAATTAAATAATTTTCCACAGCCCAATTGCTTATGTTACAATTCAAGAGGAGATAAAAGAAGATGGGACAAGAGAAGGAAGAATTATCACCCTGAGGTCTTTGCTTACTTTTGCCCCAAGTCAGAGAAAGCTCTAAACTGATACTAGAAATGCCCTAGCTGCTTTTTCAGTTCATAACTTTTTATCATGAGGTCAGGTGATACATATCCAAAACACAACTCAACCACAGGATTGAATGAGGCAATTCAAGACCAACAGAGAAGCTCGTTTCAATCTATATCTTCCCTTTTCTACCTGTAATTTTATGATTAAATAAATTCCCAATCTGATCCTAGGACTAGCATCCAATACATATTTCTTCTAAGGTTTCCCAATGTGGTCATACATGTACAATAAAAAATAATGAAAAGAGGGCTGGGTATCTAGCTCAGTTGGTAGAGTGCTTGCCTCACATGCACAAGGCCCTGGGTTCAATCCCAGCACCATACACACACTCACAAAAACCTAATAATAATGAAAAGAAACTAGCTAAATAAACCATTTTGCAAGTCTACCACTTTCTATTCAATATATACAAACCTTTAAAGTCTTCCCACAGCCACAGTGGGCACTAAATTCCAAGACCTGGTAATTACAGAAATTTATGGCAGTGAATATGGCAGAAGGATTTTCCTAAAGTTGGAATTTCAACCATTGCACCAAATGATAAACAGAAGTTTGTTTAGAAAAGGGCCTTGCGGCCCTAACTTCCCACTGCCATATTTGATTCAGCATTCCTAAAGTACCTTCTCTGAGCCTGGCACTTAGCAGGTAGTATGAGAGATAGAAAAGAGGCCCTGATAGGGAATAATCTCAGTTGGTGGCTATACGACTTCATAACACTATTTATATAGAGGTCACAACCAGAGACAGAGAAGTTACCTTAAATCCTATCCCTTTAGCACCCAAATCTTGTCAGTCACAAAAAATTGCAAATTCCAATTCCTTTTTAATTCATCTTCTCCATCTGTGTGTCCATCTCCATAGACACTGTATCTTCATCTCTAATCTGAAAAACCTCCAGCTTTCCTCTCAACTCCATCCTCCATTCTGTCAGAATGATTGTGATATTTCCAACACACAAAAAAATTGGTTGTTAAACCCTTACTTAAAAACCTTTAGTAGCTCCCCATAGCAAAACTACTCAAGCTGTGGAGTATTGGAAACTTCTTAAGCTGTTAAAAATACAAATCAGCAGGGATTCTGATTCAGGAGCTCAGGGAGGGCCCTGGGAACTGATTTATTGGTTTTAGTTCGTTTCAAGAAATTTCCACAAGTGAATCTGATGCACACCTAAATTTGAAAACAACAATTATAATTGATAAGAATTCCAACTCCTTAGTGTCAGTACACAAGGCCCTGCAGGATCTGGTTCTTGCCTGTTTTCCTAGGACTTGTTTCTGCCATTCTACAGCTTAAAATTTAAACTCTAACAACCCCAAATTTTCTGCAGATCTCCATATAATATTGTCTTCTTCAGTTATCTGCTCTGCCTTTTACTTTTAAGACAATCTCCTTTCAGGACTGGGGTATAGCTCAGTGGTAAAGCACTTGCCTAGCATGTACAAGGCCCTTGGTTCCATTCTCAACATCATTCACACAAGAAAAGACTCAGTCTTCTCTCAAGACTCAAATTATCACTTTCTCCAGAAAAGGCTCCCCTTGATCCTCTTTTCCTCCCCATGATTGGGCTAGGTGCATTAACAAACCTGGGCTTACCTTTATCAGACTCCCCACCACACTGCAGGAAAGTAATTTGTTTAGGAGTCTTCTTTCTCCAAACTACAGTACCCCCTTGAGGCAAGGGATTAAGCGATTCAGTTTTGTACCCCAGTGCTTAACATAAGTGCCGGACATATTGTAGGTGGACAACATAAGTTTGTTATATTGAGCTGTTTAAATTAACTGCATAATGACACAAGCTCCATGAGAATTGAGATTTTTATCCCTTTAAAATTTTCTTTACTTCCAAAGTCCCAGCCCCTAGGGCAGTGCCTGACAACTAGAAGATATTCAATATAGATTTATTGAATTAATGAATTATTGGCAGAAATTTACAGAGGGCATCATAGAAAAGATGCTATAAATCTAGGTCCAGAAGCATTTTAGGATGGGAGAGAGCTACTTCATACAGAGGGAAAAGAAGGGAAGAGTACACATTAAGATTTAAATATTTTTTTAAAACCCTGATAGTTGTAAAACATTGTGAACCATGGCAGATGGGTTGGAGCATTAAGGATATGAGATAGAGAACTGAAGGAACATTAAAGAGAGCATATAGAAGAAAAGACTGCCACAGTCGCTGGGGGAAAGTTAAGAAGACTGGATTTGATATGGAGACAACTGGAAGCCCATGAAGATACATAAACCAGAGAATAAGATGATCAAATTTGCATTTGAAGAAGAAGGAAGAGGAGGAGGAGGAGGAGGAGGAGGAGGAGAAGGAGGAGGAAGAAAAGGAGGAGGAGGAGGGGAGGAGGAGGAGGAGGAAGAAAAGGAGGAGGAGGAAGAAGAAAGTTATTATATTGTTATTTACTACATACTTTCTATATGCCTGACTGTGGGTTGAATGCTTCATGTATGTGAGGACATCGAGTTGAATTTTATAAGGTATGTGCTATTATTTTTTTCTTATTCCACAAGGAAACAACAGGCTCAGAAAGATAAAGTGATTTGACTTAGACCATATGACCAATAAGCAGTACAGCTGGGACTCAAAGGCAGTTCTGCCCCTGGTTGTTCTAGAATGGAGCTGAGATGATCAGGAATCAAATTGTGCAGAAAAACTCAAAGAATAAATATCAATTGGGCAAGAAAAGCTAGGAGTAGAGGTGGCAGAAACCAACCCAGGAATGAGATGCTAGCAAATGTGAAGCGAACAGTAAGATAATGCCAGAGAACAGCTTCTGCTTACCTCTGGGGAAACAGAACTCTTCCTTTCCTTTGAAAATTATGTGGTATGATACTCAAAAGCAGAAGAATACTGGCCAACATAAGGCCCAGAATTGGAATAGGTCTATAACTACTTGCCCTGAGAAAAATAATATGACCCAGACATTTTCCGTATCCTTTAGAATATAGACAACTGTGTCGTATTTGCCTACAGAATTCAGTACTTTCTTTGGTTCATAAATGTAAGCCAAAATAAAAATGATCTATAATTGAAGAAGTAATGGAATTATTTTAGAGGTTATATACCTCTAAAATATATTTGACCCTCTTGATCCTAGAATAATGTAGAAAAATGGAAAGACTCCCTCTATTTTTTTAAAGAAGTGTTGAGAGGTCATGGGAAAGACTTGAGATATTCTATTGTCATCATATATTTCTGAGGATGATATTGTATTGCTTCACATGTTCCAGTCTTAATTCCTCTAATTAAGAACAGTCTACCTGGCCAGGCATAGTGGTGCACACTTGTAATGCCAGCTACTTGAAAGGTCGAGGCAATAGGATGGCAACTTAGTTCAAGACTAGCCTGGGCAACTTAGTGAGACCCTATCTCAAAAAGAAAAACTTAAACACCTGAGGATTTAGCTCAGTGGTAGAGTTCCCCTGGATTCAATCCTCAGTAGTACAAAAGGAGGAGGGGGTGGGGAGAGTAGTCCACCTGGACAAATAGAGGACCACAGAATATATTCCATAGGCATCCTCTGGTTGTTGGTTTAGCTCCAGCTCAGAGAAAATGCCTTTCTTGGTGAGGATACAGAGTTATATTTGAGAGAATGAACTCTGGAGCCAAACTAACTTGGGTGTGAATGAATCATGGCACCATCACTTACTAGCTGAGTGACCTAGAACATCAACTCTCTGGGCCTCAGTTTCCTCATCCATGTAATAAAAGTAATGTGACCTACCCTTATATTAATTGTGATAATTGAATTAGATAAATATAAGCAAATAGCTCACATATAGTCAACTCAATAAAAACCAAATAATATCATATTTTAATGTTTCCATATTCTCAATTAGTACATCGCCAGGCTCATAAAAGAAGCTTAATAAATGCTTGTTGGTTGGCTAATGATTAGCATTAATATATCTCTATCTCTTTTGGATCTGTCTTCTGAACTGAAAATTTTAATAAGGTAGAGCTAGCAACAACTTGGTATAATAAAACACAAAAGGCCCATTATTGCTAACATTTGTGTTAAGATAATTGGACATTTCCTTCAGTGTACTATATTTCATCTTGCTCTGTGTGAGAACAAGGATTCTTCACTTTAATTTAGTGATAAAATATTATGCAGCAGAGTCTCTCAAAATATATTGAACTTCATTAGCTTCTTTTAATGAATAAAAATATATTCAAAGCACAGACAGTGAGAAAGCCAACAGAAAAGTGCTCTACACTTGCCCAATACTTCTTCTGGGTATTAAAAGCTCTTTGTATCACATTGACTTTAATCACTGCCCAGTGATTGGTGGTTAAGAGTCTCAGTTTAGAAACACAATGTCTCAAAATGATCAAAATTGTATTTTGAAAATAGCATTACCTCCCAAGTAAATGTGAGGTTCAAAAATAGTACACTCTAGACCAGGGTTTCTTAACAGTGGCACTACTGAAGATTGGGACATATCATTCTTTATGTGGAAGCTGTTTAGTACACTGTAGAATTGTTTAACACTGTCCCTGACCTCTACTCACTAGATGTCATCGCATCTGCCAAGTCACAACATTCAAAAATATCTCCAGACATTTCTAAATGTTCCCTGGAGAGCAAATCATCCCTGGTCAAGAACCACTGCTCTAGAATAATAGAATACCGCTAAATGCAAACATTTCAAATTACTTGCCTAAAATATATATCATCATCATAAGATATTTAATTTACCACACAATAGCAATGTAAACAAAAGTTTACTGCTATAAACTTCATCATTATAACACAAGACAGCATTGGGCTTTAAGACAAAGGAAACTCAACTGCTTATTGTGATTTTACATCTCTTACATCAAAATAGAAATATTATTTCAATTAGTTTTCTCAAGACCTTAATTTATTTGTTAATATCTAAAATAAAACATGATACAAATAAAAGAGCAACTATCAAACTAGTTCAATGAAAACCAGTTGGAATTTGGGTAAGTCCTCCAACCTTAACTGAACTTAATTTACCTCTAGAAGTACAAGGTTTCTCTTCTAGTACCCTTTCTTGGTAGGGGTTGTGGTTTCTGCTTCCTCTCCCTGTCACCTGAGTCCTATTTTGACTTGGCATTATACATCTGTAAGTGTGTTATCAAATGAAAATTGGATAGAGAAGCCACAGTGCACATCACTTACCTTGGCTCCAAAAATGAGAGAAAGGAAACAATGGGGTGCCATTTTAGACACACTAGATGAAAAGAGAAAGAAAGAAAACTGCTATTTATTTTGGAAAATAATACTCAAAGCCAGCCAAGACCATGGTAAAACTGGTACACACTATTGATGGCTAGAAAGCATAAAGAGCCATAGAAGTATTAATGTTTTTTGATGGCCATCCTACTTCACAGACTATCTTAAGGAAATAATTCAAAATTGGCAATAAAAAATGGTTTAAAAGTGAAGGAGCAATTAGGAAATCTTCTCAATGGATTAAGCAGCTACAAGATGATAAATATGAAGGATATGTAGTAACATGGAAAATATTTACTACATAAACAAAGTGTCTTCCTACATTCATAGTGCTTCACAGTGACAGTTTCAAAGTCCTACATTTCTGCTGTGATGCCATAGATGAACTCAAGCACCAAAGAGGAGTGTGGTGGCCACAAGGAAAAGTGTTAGATTAGGTGAATGCATAATTATTCTCAATAAGTGTGAATCTATAAGTGTGAAACTCCTCAGCAATTTTTACATAGGTAGATATTGCTAATTTTAAAGGTGTCATTTTGTTTTAAAAAATCACTCAAAACATTTGTCTATGGGGGCTGGGGTTGTGGCTCAGTGGTAGAGCACTTGCTTAGCATTTGTGAGACCCTGGGTTCGATCCCCAGCACTCATAAAAACTAAATAAACAAAATAAAGGTATTGTGTCCATCTACAACTAAAAAATTTAAAAAAAAA